ATGCCCTTACCCTGTCGGAGATCTCCATTCAACCATGTAAATACGTAGAAATGTGGTCGACGATGGTTTTTCGAGTTCTACATATATTTCGTTGTGATGTTCATTGGTGGCAAAGCTGAAGAGTGCCTGTTCCAATTTTATGGCTGCCTGGTTCCATGAACATACTGTAAAGGCTGTCAAATTTCCCAACCAGTTCTCCAGAACAACTTTAGTTTTTAAACTTGCTTGAGGAAATATCATAATGATTTGCTCTCTGGCATCTGTTGAATTAAATTGTAAAAAATATTCACTCGGCTGCCTTTGCTGTTTGAATTGTATTATGACACACAGTATTTCATACCTGGAATCTTGAAGTACACAGAGTCTTCGTTGATGACTGTCATTTGGGGCGTGTTCTCCATTGTTCGGCTATTAAGCTCACAGAGGGACTTGTCTCTGTAATAATTGACACTCCTGCAGCCCGGTTTCTCGACACAAGTCCTATAGCAGCTATCAATATCACCGATAGTCAAGTTCGACATGACATGGTTCGTAAGTTGTACTCCCCAGACCGAGGTGTGGCAATCAGCATCAGCGATTTGGAAAGCAAGAGCACAAAGTATTCCAGCACAACTCAAGACAGTTTCTAAAACTCTCGTCTTTCCCATTTCCGTTAGCCCTTTGTTAAACTTAATTCAGCTTGCGTCCCCTGCTATATAGAGTTCTGCTGGTCTAGGGATCAAGTAATACACAATATGTCAATGTGTCGTTTTTTATTCAAACGTGAACGGCCGGACGTAGTACAGTGTGTTGCCGAGTATCGTGCCGGTACCAGTATCATGCCAAAAAAAGTTAAAGTCAACCGAATGCAATCGCTACCCGAAATCATTTTTGGCGGGAATCTAGACATCTATGTGTTCTAGAAGGCCGCCAATTTAGCGAGGTAAGTTGAAATCTTTCAGCTAAAACTCATGAGTTTTAGTGTGCAGTGAATTGAAAACATCTTGAAAATTAGACCTCATAAGATTTAGTTTCAATGAAATTTCTCCAAGTTTGGACTTAAGACAGCTAGATAATGTATGTTTACATGTAATAGTTTGCGAATATTTGCCAAATTTCGTATTTGCAATAATAGCCAGTTTTAAATTTTTAGTATTTTTTTGGTTCTGGTGCCCAGTATCGCGCCATATACAAAATAATCTTTGTTGTGAATGAAGTGATYGTCAAAGCATCTTTAGAAATAAATGCAAAGTGTGTTTTTATGTGTGTAGATGTTTTACACTCTTCATTTGTAGCTTTGTGGTTAAATCTTCGTTGATTGCTGTACACAACAAAGGATGTAGGACGTGTAATTCAATTCCCTCTTCTAAATTAAATTTCAATTACTGTTCTGCCCATATATAAGAAATAATATGAGTAAAAAGGTACAAAAACTAACTGTTAGCGTTATTCTCTCCTTTATTTGTATATTTTTGAAAAAAATTGATGTGGTACGGTACAGGACCCGGTGGCACGAAACTGGACAATCAAGTCGTCTCTGAAAAAAGGGTAATTCTAACAGTAATTAACGTTTTTCGATAAAATAATTTTATCAGTGCATCAACAAATAAATTTGCTTTATTGAGGAAAAAAATTAAAACGATTGAGGTTGGCATGCAAACGATATAGCGATTACAAACTGAAATGGCACGATACTGAGCAACACACTGTATATGCATTGGATGGCTTACGAAAAAAATAAGGATCACAAAGCTTTAACAGAAACGCTCAAATGACAGTAAAATACGAAATTTCAGGCCGAAAGGTAAACTAACTAAATTAAAAGAAATGAAGCATATAAGTCTAATTTTTTGCAGGTCCTTATGAATGACCTGCGATGTGATTGGCAGAAAATAATTATTCTGAAAATGATCGAGACGCTAGTGAATACWTTTATGTTATATCCCAACAATATATTTTCACGCGCATCAATTGGTCCAAAGACGTCGATCACGTGGTACATTTTTGGCGGACTGGTATAAGGTGATATCCCCCGTCCGAAGGTGATATTTGTCCGCGTAAAGTTTTCAGATTTGTTTTTGATAAAAAAAGCTATGGAAAGTGATTAAAACCGCGTTTTAAAGAGCTCTGATGATGAGAATAAAAAACTAGCTGACGAAACAACATCTGGAAATACAAARAAGTCGACTAAGTACGCTGTGAACGTATTAAGAAAATTACTATCAAATGTTAAGCCACTAAAATTCCGGTTTGTTTACAAATATTTTCACTCGCTAGTTCGTCCTGCGTCTCTTAGTTTTGCAAGTTCTACGTTTAATGGCAWTCATTTTTTACTTCAGCTCAAAGCAAAATAACTAAAGATCTTTAAGATACTAATTTTCAAGTTTTCTTTTTTAAAGACTTGAAATTTGCTCTTAACGCATCATTAAATTTGTAGTTCTTACTTCATCAGAGAGTTTTGCCGACTTGTTCAATCTTGTCAAATGATAACCAACCAAAAAATTACTTTGAACCACACCGTGTGTAGATTACCTTGCACTTTATTGGCTTCTCTTCGTCAACACAACAAAATGAATTCATTTGTTATATATAAAATAATTCCAAAACTTATTAATTATTCATGAGGTATTCAGCCAATCCCTGATTGTAATTTGTACCACGAGAAGTAACTTGAAACCAGTACTCGTACCTTGTATTCTAACTTATTTCCAGTTACTTCTACCTTTTTCAAGTTACTTCTACATTATTTCCAGTTATT